AAACTAGTTTGCAAAATCTCGATCTGGCAAACTTTTGATAAAGAAGCACGATGATGCACTAAGCCAGTGTAAGCTAATAAAGGTGCAGTAAAGGCATTAACTGATACAAACCGGTGAATAATAACAACTCGTGAGATCGCTGAGATATTAAATTTATGGAAATCGATAGTTCAAGATCATTTGAAAAAACTAAGGCTTCATCTTAAAGCTCAACAGAGAGATTCCTCGTGTTCTTACAGAAAAAAAATCTGTGCCGTCCAGTTGACATCTGTAATCAGTTTCTCAAACATTGTGAAAATTATATATTTTTGAAGCGCATCAACACTGGGAACGAGAGACGAATTGTCCACATAATGTTCCGGTCTCTACAAAATTCTTCAGACCGACCGCAAAACCTTTTCTTCAAATGGATGGCGTTTTCTACACTAGGGAGCGCTGCAAGCTTGGGACTGCCTAAATTTCCGGGTTACTGTTTCAGTTGTATTTTAAAGCCATTTGGCATCATTGTGTTTTGAGATTCTTGCAAACAATGCATTTGATTACTTATGTTTACAATGCTAACAATACTGTTTACAATACTAAAAGTGTTAACACTAACGTAAGATGGTGCACAGCTTGCAACACGAACAAACAGTAATAAAAAATGGAAAGAGGCCAAATCAAGACTGCCAAAAAAGCGAGTTATTAAAAATCTAGCAACCATGTCACCTTTTTTAATAATAAATAACAAAATAACTAAAACAAATTTTCACTCCAAACACCCTAGAATTACATAATAACATTAATATCTTATGAAATACGGCAGATTTGAGCTCAGAAATTACCTAGTTTATCTCTTTTATTGAAAATAAAATTATCCGTTTGAAAACATTGCCTATCAGAATAACATGTAGTAAGCAGCTGCAAACTTTTTAACCGGAACTAGAGTAGGACCCGAGCTCGAGATTGTTATTGTTTACATTTCTATTGAAAACACCATCCATAAGGAATTCAAACATTACCTGGATCAGTTTTTTGACAGCAAAAAGCAAAATTTTTATGCTCATGAAATAGTGCTACTGCCAGCAAGATGGCAAAAGGTGTTTGGATTAGAATGTTCAGTGTGCAAAATAAAAAACGGACTATCCAAAACAACTTTAGATCTTAAGATCAGATCTTCGCTTTCTGGGACTCAATCTTTACGGCTCAAGGGGATAATCTCAAATATGCTAATTAAGTAGTGCAGACAATATTTTAAATTATGAAATCAGATTAAAAAAAGTACTTTCTCTATGTAAACGTACCTTTTTTTTAACGGGTTAAAATTTCCAACCCCCAAAATATAGAGGGTAGCAGCAATCTGGGAAATATGGTCCCCATAGTTTGGTTAAGAGAGCGATCCAAAATTTATACCCTTATGTAAATTTCACTTTTTGATTATTACTTTTTAAGAATTTCAAAATTTTTCGCACAATTATTGAATATGTTTATCCAAAGATAAATTCTATGCAAAACTCAAGTTTTAGTAAATATTTATTTATTTTTTTAAATTTATTAAGTAGTTGTCGAAAAATTTTTAATTGTGCGATATACAATTCTTGCATCATTTTTAAAATTTTAATTTCATATTGCAAAATTCAAAATTTGAGCGAAAGAGGTCTAATAGTTCCAGAGAAATTGAATTTCAAAAAAGTCAGATACTTAGAATTCGATTTTTCTATTCAACTGAATTTGCATATTGTTATATAAAATTCGAACTTTAAAATTAAGTTAAGAATCGTACACTTTATAATTTAAACTTTTTTCGACCATTATTAAATAAATTAATAGAAATTAATATATATTTACTAAAACTGAATTTTTCCATGGAATTATCTTTGGATAATCAAATATTAATTCAAAAATTTTTCAATTCGGTTATAAAGTATAGAGATATGGTGAACCTAAATTATCATTAAGGGGTCTTAACTTTATATCGCTCTCCTGATCAAACTATGTGAACCACATTTCCCAGATTGTGACTACCCCAGATATTTTGGGGATTAGAAATCCGAATCCGTTGGGGGGAAAAAGGAAAGTTTATTCAGAGAAATTCCATTTTTATATCTGATTTCGTTACTTAAAATGTCATCTACATTAATTAATTAGCATATTTGAGTTCATCCCCTTGAACCAGTATGATCAATTCCTATAATACCCGATATCCGATCAATAGATCAAAAGTTATTTAGGATGGTCCGTTTATTTTATATTTTGTGCACAGTACAATATATGATTCAATAAAATATTTATTCACTGTAAGAAAATTGCTTTTCATTTTCATAGAAAAAAGAAATTGCTTTCCGAATAATCGAATAATATGACAGATGGACAAAGATTAAATGTTTAGAAAAAATTGAAATTGGTTGATAGCTTACAGATATAAGGAGCTATTTAATTCATCAAAGTATGCACAGATATTTAATCTACTTTTTTGCCATGAAAGCAGTAGGTTGTTCAGGTTGTGAGATTAAACCTTGGTGGACTAGAGTCAAATAACTCCTGGAAGGCCAGTTTTACAGGATTTTCAAAATTAAATTACTTATCTACAAAAGTTGTCCAATTTTAGAAGGAAGCGGTATTCAGTGAGGGCTAAGTTTAGTGAATATGGGACTAAGATTTAGTGAGTATATCATTAATTTATGTAATTCCACCATAGTCCTTGGTGTTGGGAGTGGTTCAGCGATACCATGGAATAAAACATTAAACTTTGTGTCTACTAATCAAAGCTATTTTTCTTTTACGTCTTATTGGTTGCAGTATTGTGACTGATGGGCCAAGTTTTATAAAATCATACATCATGTAACCCATACTAGAGCACCAAACACTCATCATCAGCTTTCCATTTTTGGTGAATATTATATTGTGAATATTGGTATAGCGTCTTTTTCTTGATTCACTCTAATTTAACAAACACTAAAGCCAACTAAATCTAGAGCAAAATACTCTATTCATACTTAGTTTAGTAATCAATGCGATAATTCCACGTAAAAACTCATACTTTATAATAATGCGAAATTCCGACTGTTTTCTTTTCAATGAAATTAATTTACTAGAAAAGGTTCTTTATTTTTAAAGCCTGCGAATATATCTTAAAGCACAAGTGAGATATAATACTTTTTAGCAAAATAAAAAACCGTAAAATATTAACTTAATATCAAAGAAAAAATTTTTGGAAAAAAATTATCCTACCTAAACTCTAAAGTATCCTACTTACAAAGTAAGTACCCAAACTAAAAATTTCGTACTTGTTTGATTTATTTGAAATCAATTGAGTTTTTTTAATATTTTTCTAGATACATTATTGTGCCCAGAGTAAAAGATTCGGGTAAAATTATCGTACTGTATAGCAATAACATTTCTGGTAAAAGAAATACGTAATTCTAGCTTATAAAACCAAAATATACGGTATTTAACCCATTCATTTGGTAATTGTTTAATTCATATAATAGAAAATTACCGGATGGTAAAATTGAAAACTCGCTAATGATTAAATTTTTTTACTTTCTTATGCTGCGTGCAATGATGCGTGGAAAGTCGTCATAGCGTTCAAAGCACGGGTGTAAACCAAAGCTCTCGTCACCTTTGAGACAAGTCAGTAAATCTTACATGATTCATGAAGTTCCGTATAGAGGATGATTTAAAAAGAACGATGAATCATGGAAATTTTAAAATTTTTGAAGGAAAAAATAGACTGCTTCACCTCAAATTCAGATATGTGGAGGAAAAAATCAAACCATTTGGAAGAACCTGAAAGTGAAATTTTGAAAAAAAGAAATCTTTTGATAAGATCAGATCTTATATGTATTCGAAATTTCAAAGAAAAAAAAGACCATAATTTAAAAAAATCATAATAGTAGAAATTTATTTAGATTTTTTGTGTCTATTTTTTTTGTTAGTTACCAATTTTTATAACATTTACATAAATGTTTTCCATATTTCCAATCCATTGGTATCCATATGCCACTAGGGAATACGTTTTTTTTTTTTAAAATTCTACATCAATGACTTCATTAAAAACGATATAAAAAATGCCCTGAATCTTTACAATATTGACACGCTTTTCGCCTAGAAAAGTTTAAATTTTTTCTTATCAACGTCTTAATCGAATGCTTAACATGCATTTTCATTTTTTAAAACACCAAAAAATCATTCATATTTTAATTAAATCAACATTGAAATTTAACAATATTTTGCTACCTTTAAAAATTTCAGTGAAAATTAAGAACTAATGATCTGTTAAATTTTATTATCTGCACAATTGAACAAAAGTTATAAGTATATCGGGCTCTCTGTTTTTTTCTTTGGTAGGTACTCCTCGTACTATCTTATTAATACATTTTGCTTTGGCTATATTGATACAATATCAGAAATCACTATTTTTGAGAACATAATTTTATGAACTGATGATTATCTCTTTTCGTTGTTACATGTTCTAATTTGAATTTTTTTTTTTTAGATTTTTCTCCTTTTTTATTTTTTTCCAAGATTTTATTCTCTGATTTCCTTTCTTCTTTTTTTAAATAATTTTATTTCTTTTAAGACTTGTTCGCAAAACTGAGTGCTAAAAAGTATTGTCAGTAGTAGTTCAAATAAAGCAAAGATTGCAATCCTGTTGACATTGGAAAAATTTTACTATGACTAATTCATTTCTAAAATGTGATGGTGAAGAATAATTTTTCTTGAAACAGTGATTCTTTCATAGATTTTAATACAACAATTTTTCGTTGGAAGTTGAGATAATTTTAAAATGTTTCGGTATCAATGCATTGTTACAAATACTTTCACAGCTTAATTAATTTATGTAACAAACATTAAAAACTATATCAAACAATGCGACACATTCATCTCGATGTCCTCCAAATCTTGGAATTCCAATAAAAGTCTTGTCATTCGTAAATAATTATTACTTCGATGAAAGGAACCTCCGAGCTTTAAGTGCTGTCTTATTTCGCAATGAGTGCTGAATCCCCTTCTCCGCTCCGCATCCGACTTATACGCATGCGCCCGAATCTTGTGGTGCGTACACACTCATCTTCCGATTCATATTCCGCTCTCAGTTCGAATGTTTCCGACCGGCTTCTATCGCGGATTGTCACTCAGCGGATGATTTTTCTGTTTAATTCACGAGCTTTGACTTGATGAGTTTTTTTTTATATCTAATGATCTATTTATATACTTTTTTTTTTTATTTTATGAATAAATAAATAAAAAGTATCACTTTGTTAGTTACTTCCATCTTTCATTCAATTGTTTACATTACATAGTTTTATAAATGAAAAATAATTCCATTAAAAAACTATCGCAACTATAAAATTTTCTGAAAAATGATGCAAATAATCGTCTGCTGTAAGATATGATTTGTAAAATTTCTCAAGGAAGAATTCGTCTGCTTTTATTGAAAATCGTTTGATTCAAAAATTTTATTTTAACACGTTTTACAGTATATTTATGAGGATATATATCTTTTTATCAACCTATTTATTTATTGCATGAAAAATGACCTGATAAAAATCAGTATTCCGTTATGAATGAAAGCTCAGAAAACTTTTTTTTACTTCGATATCAATAAAGTAATTCTTTCAAGTCAATAAACATTGACAGTGATGAAAGAATAATTGGATTTCGTTGATGAAATTTCAAGTATGTGATACTTTGTGCATGTGAAATTATGACTAAACTGGTATGACCTAATTAAACATTGGATTATTATGGAATCTCGGTGGAGCCTTAAAAGATTTTTTCGATCAACATACAATACACGGTAAGATTTTAAAATTAATTTAAAATTTTATGTGAATAATGAAACATTCTTTCTTTTATAATTTGTTTGAAATATTTTTTTAATAAAAATAATCGTTAAAACTTTAGTTTTAACGATTAGTTTTCTTTTCTTTTCTAAATATAAAATATTGTGTATTGCAATGAGTGTTAATACACAATGTCATTTGGCTTAATTTAAAGCACTTTAATTAATTTCTTTTTCTGAATTTCAGTTTTAAAACTTTAATTTAGAATTTGAATGAAATTACACACACTAGAATAGAACGCTAGCTTATTATAACACGCTCTTGCATATAATATTAAAAACATTAAAAGATGCGAAATTTTTTATACTGCTTTTATGGCCAACTGGGAAAATTATAAACTGCTAAGACTTTATTTAATTCTCACTATGCAATAATAAAATTTAAACAAAAAAATATTTGCAAAAATATATTTTCTAAAATGAAAAAGAAATCTATAATTGTTACATTTACATAAGCATTATTGTCCCGTAATTTGAGTTTTTTAATAACTTCAGGTTTTATTTTACTTAAATTTGTAATACAAAAAAAATATTAAAAAGCTCTAAATCCCACAATTTTTTTTCTAAAAAAAGTAAGAAATTTATTTTAAATAATATATACACAAAAAACTATTAATTTGTAATTACAAATATTCTTTTAAGTTTCCTTATCTGCTGCTAACGCATTTTGGAACCACAAATTCAAGTGTGTTTTCTCATAAATTCGTGACTCAAAAACATCGCATTAATCTTTAGATTATACATAAACTTAAAACTTAATAATAATTCGATGCTCCTTTAAAGTTTTATTTTTTATCAATCAAAATTCATTATAAAAATTTTCAAAAACAATTGTTTGAAATCTTACAATTGAATAATTCCCCCATACTTTAAAGAACTTAGTTGTCAATGAACTTAATAAGTTGGAATTACTCCCTTTTAATTATAAAATTACAAATTTATTAATGCCCAACTATTTTTAAAGTTATTAATGAAAACTTTGATGAGCAGTGCAATTTTAATAAATGAGAGAATGTTTAATGAATTAAATATATTTTATAGTTGTAATCTATAATTATAAAGATATTTTACTATATATTTTATAATTATAATTGCGCATTTATCCATTACGATTTATATGTGCTGTAAGTTTAAAAGTGAAATCGTTAGTTGTCAAAATCGAGCAGTTTGCCTAAAGAGACACTTTAGAAATCCCTTTAAATTCCACTCTTAAAACACTTACAACACATATTAAGGTCGAGGAAATTATACTTCGTACCAAATTCATTAATTTCTGAATGTCACTAGGAAGCTGTTGTCTTACCTATTATTTTTGCTTCTAATTTGAATCTATGAATGGCTTTAGAAAATCTATTGGGAATACCAATAAAGAGAGTTTTGTTTACATGAATGTGGCTAATAGTAAAGTTGTGCGTGGGACAAAAAGAGAGAATAATTATTTCCTCTTGTGCATTATTATCATTCTATGATTTGATAATTTTTCATGGAATTTATTTGTACTTATAACACACACAATTTATAAAAATTTCCTAAGCACAAGAACTTAAATTTATGAGCAATTTCTTTACAGCAGGTAAAGTTTTGAAAAATCCCACCCACTTTCGCACCAAAAAAAAATAGTCTTAAAACTCAGATTAAATTTAGGCAATTAGCTGAATTAATTCATTTCTATAAATTAATTTCAATGACTAAAATATGTTAACGTAATTTTTTATTTTATATAATTACCGACGTTGAGCAGCCAACCCAATGCTTAGTTTATGACTCCCAATGTTCAACTCTGTTGCCTTGCAGCATTGAACCCAACCCAGAAGACAAGGGAACTCCTGGATCATGCATTGGAAAAAACTAGCCTTCGCGTGCAACTTTTTGATAGAACTAATTCATAGTTGCATATATGGAGAGGGAAACCAAGGAAACCAACCATAGTTAGCCCGACGGCAGGGAGATTCCTTGATCCATCTACCTCTGGGGATATTTTACGTCAGCACTGTGGTCGGTGCGAGCCGGTAGAAGAATTCATATTAACCAGCCATCACAGGCATTCGAACTTGGTTCACCTGATTGGAAGTCGAGCACTATATTCCTGAGTCACTGTGGCTCAAAAAATGGCTTTATAAAGGGATAATTTTACTCTAAACTCTTTAATATCGTTTTTAGTACTTTGGGGGATAAAAATATGGTTTGCGCTTTTGTTAATGATTGTTTTCGTTCCCTATTATAATTAATATAATTCCTATTATAATATCCCTATTAAATATTTTAATTTCCAATTAAATTCAGCAAAAAAAGTACTTTTGATGAAACTGGTTTATATGCTATCAGCTGACTATATCTTTGCTGCTTGTTTTGAAATCACTAAGTTACTTAAGGGTAAAATTCATTTAAATATTAAATCATATTTTTTTCAATAAAATAAAACTGAGCATATTTTACTCGAAATAGATGTTATGTACTTCAATAAAATAAAAAAAATAATAATAAACAGCAATCTTGTTATCTTGTCATTCTTATCAGAAAATATTCTATATCTGTCATCAGTGCTCCTTTTTATTTTTTCTAATCTCGCCATCAATCTTGTTATAGACAACATTCTTCCAACTCTTTCCTGAAAGAATTTTATTTTTTTAAAGCATGCTTCATACGATAAATTCTGCCAATATGCGTTGCTTTTACAGATAGTTTTGACGATTTAATTATAAGGAAAAAAAACATTTCAAAAAATTTACTTATATATTTTTAAAAAAATCTGTAAGACAGAACCTTGACTCTTAATACTTCAAATTGTTATGTTAACTTTGTTCATCTGGAATAGATTTTTTGCTACACTTTTGTTTGTTTTGTTGCGCGTCTATAAAGAGTGTAGCTTTCAATCGCAGTTCCAACCACCTTCCAACTAGCTAGAGCACTTAGATCTCTACTGAAGCACCATGCCAGATTATAAAATAAGTTTTTGTATTTTCCTGGCCACTACTAGCAGAATTTATATTCATATTGTCCCGAAATAAAATTGATAATCAATCCAAAATTTTACTAATTTTTGTGTAATTAAATTCTACCCAAACCTGGAACTCTGTGTACTCCCGAGTACTTGCATTACGAATTTCAAATATTTCGTGACCCGCTTCGATAAGAATTTATGGTCAAATTGACTTTATCTTAAACCTAAATTTTGATTTTTTTTCCGAGTAGATGGAATGCTCCAATTTCAACTTTAGCTCTGGATTTAAGACGAATATAAACTACATTTGTTTCCGAATCGGTGAAAGCACCTTGCAGCACTAGTTAAGATTCTGACTACTTTCCACAACCATGCAAACATATACAAAACTTTAAAAAAAAATTAAAAACTACTATTTTAAAACATACTAAAAAGAATAAAATACTTTTTTTGCCAGATTTGAAATGAAGAGTACAAAGAATCATTTTTAAAAGAAGTGTGGAAAATTTTGGGTGGGGGCAAAAGTTTATTACTAAAGTGATGTTTCTCGTTTTAGGCTTGGTAAAAGAAAATTAGTTTCAGTCATCTTGTAAACGGTATTTTTAAAAATGTGCATTTTTTTTTAAAGATACTCTATTAGTTTCGTTACTTTTTAAAGAACTTCAATGAAGTAGAATTCTACAAAAGATTAAGATTCTATACATGCATTTGCGTCATTTTTCGTACAGTTGTTTATGTAACTGATTATAATACATCATTATTCTGTTATAAATTTTATGAAAGGAGAATATATTGAACAAACGATCAAAAAATTAACAACTGTGTTGAAAAACTTGTAAAATAATTTTAATAATTTTTGACTGGTAACATAAAGGTCGCATTTTTTTTATTTCGAAAGGCATATTTTTAATGTTTCGATATCAAGAAAGTTTCTGGCATGACTTGTTTGTGTAAATTCATATTTTATCAACATACACTCTCAAAAATAACTTCATAGAATTTTTTTTTTTTGCGTTCTTATATTATTACCATAAAAGTTTAAACATTTAAAGTTTTAACTTAATAGAAGTTTTCTTTGTAGTTTTAATACAAAATAATAATATTAATCCCAACTTTTGAGATAAGTAATTAATTATTTCAAGAATATACATAAGATAAGCACAATATCCCATAAAGTTTTTAAGGTATTGTTCTAATGGTCAAAAAAAATCTGCACTAAGATAATAAGCTAAAAAAATCTTATTGCTATACTACAACACCTTTAAAATTGGTAAAAGAAGTTCAGTCGCGAAAATTTTAAAATTTCGAAAAACAAGTCTAACTTGATCAAATTACTCAACACGAAAAAAAACATGTTAATTATTTTCAATATAAAAAAAGGACAAATTACATCAGTTTTGCTGGTAAATTTCCAAGAAATTCTCCTTATATGGAAAGAAACTCAGTTTCCTGTTATAAAAACTACTTAAAATATCATTGTTCGTCAAGATTTAAGTTTTTGAAATTAAAAATGAAACTATGATTGTGAGCTAAAAACTATATTATTTATTCATTATTAAAACGCTCCTATAAAAGCTTTGATTATCAGAAAAATCAGTTCCTGGTTAAACCATAAAATCAATAGCTTGAACAATAGTAAAGTGTACATTTGTAGCAGCGCCTAATAGAATGTTAAATTATAACCTATAGAAACGTGTAATCAAATTAAGGGTTATTTGACTCAATAATGTGGTTTAACTTAATCGTATCTGTGTTGTAGCAAATTTGAATTATATCAATGTTTAACATGCTCAGAAATTTCTAATTATACAAACATCATATAAAGAATTTAATTACTTTTACAGACTTTTAAATTTAATTTCTTAAAAAGTTAGTTTGAGAAATCGGTTTTCAGAAATGTGAGTTTTAGGCTTAAATAAAGAGGTGTATTGCAATAATTCGATATGAGTTTCATAGCATGAAAATAGGACTTTTGCTCCACAAATAATATTTTGAAGCAGAAGGTTTTTATTTC